ATATCCCAAATCAATTAAATATAATTGACATTTTCGTTCTAGATCAACCTGTTAATTTTTATTTATTAAGCCTCCGACGTTTTAAATTTGTAATAAAAAAAAAATGATCAAAAATTCCATGTAAACAATTCCATGTAAACAATTGTATTCGTACAATTTATTCATATCCCAAATCATTTAAATACAATTGACATTTTCGTTCTAGATCAACCTGTTAATTTTTATTTATTAAGCCACCAACGTTTTAAATTTGTATTAAAAAAAAAATGATCAAAAATTCCATGTAAACAATTCTTGATAAAAACTGCTGCTGCTAAATTTAAATACAGAATAAATATTTTCTGGACCATGCTTTATCACCTTCGGTACGACAAACAAGGATTAAAATAAATCAATGTCTACATTTCGATACAAAAGGCAAATAAGTGATATTGAAATTGCCAGAAGAATCAGAAAATATCGGAAAACATTAAATTCGAAATATTCTAAACATTTTATTTTTATTAAATTCTAACTAAACATTTTACGTTCCCATTATTTGTTTCATTTAGTTAAAAGTGATAATTCTAAATTTCATTTTGCTTCTACGAAGTATTTTTATTTTTAACATGATACATTCGCGAGATCTAAATAGGGAAATGTAGTAGAATCGCAATGGATGGCAAGAGAAGTTACCCAAAGCGGGACTGAAAGCTAGAAGCACTTCAAGTCTCTGGATAGAGACGTTATTCTAGCTTCTATAAAAGAACTCTCTCATTGACTCTTCCCAAGCATGCGATTATCAGGCCCCTTGAGGCTGACAACGGTACTCGTTAGCAACAAAGGTATACTGAAGATACCTTTTAAAAGGTGAAGATTTAATTTGAAAAAAAAAAGAAATCAGTATTTAAAATAATAACGAACGAAATAAAAGAAAATTAACAATTAGAAATTGAATACAATGAAAAATTTAAGAAAACAATAATTATTATAATAATAAGATATAATATATTATATATACTATTATATATATATATAGTAATTATAATAATAATTATTATTATTCAACGATAATAGTAATAACAATTATTATTATCACTATTGGTTATACTCCCAAAAGACACTAATAGTTGTTGGGCATAGAACTTAAGAAAAGTGATGGTGCAGATGGGTAGACCCAAAATATAAAATTTCAACTTTGGATATTTAATGGTTTCCAAGATACTAATAAAAAGACTTTTGGTTCTATACACGGAGTTCTGTCTATACAAACGTTAGTGACACAGTTTACATGGGTAGTCGTAATCAACTGTCAAGTAGAAAATGGCACAATAATGGCAGTATTAGTTTGGTTAGGTTTAAGTTAGGAATGTAGTCGTCAGATGGCTGCTTACACCATTACGTGGACTCACACGTGCACAGGCGATATTTAATATTTTGTACTAATAACTTAAAAACTAATAATTAGTCTAAACTAAAATTTTATATTTTGGTTTTACCTACTGTCTCAATCAACCATCAAATTTCGTGTTGATCTATCATTGATACAAGAATATCCTATTTATTAATTAAAGTACACAAAACTATATAGAATAATATTTAAATATCACACGCCTTTTATATTATAATTATAAATAAATCAACACGCATCACAAACAGAAATAAAAATTAATAATAAATTCATAAAATATTTGAACGTATAAAAGCAACACACGTTAATGTAAAATACGGAGATAGAAGAGTAAGATGTATAGTTTATCACAGAAGGTAATTATATAATTGTATAGGATAATTGTATAGAATACTGAAAAATCTACATTACCAATTCTCAGTAATAACATACACTAAACAATTATGAATAGAAATATGTATGTATTTATTATTGGGAAATAAAAACTAAGTTACTTATTTGGTAAGATTACACGATTTATGTATAATTATGTAAAATATAAATTACTTCCTGTGAATCATAAGTTATAGTTTCATTTAATTCAAGAGCTATTCACGAGCAAATTGATGCACTCTGTAGAATCGTCTAAATAAATCTGAACTGTGTATGATTATATCCCGCTCTTACCAGATGAACCAGGTCACACTGCGTCATCTAGCGACAGATCACTCAAGCTATACATGTTACAGTGGGTTACTAAGAACTACAATTTATTCGAATTGCAGTTACAATTTGTCTATTGTTGTTAAAGAAAGAAGAAAGGTTGCCAAGTGTGACACCATAATTCCATTTTTATCTCTCGTATTTAGTTGATAAAATTACTCTACCTAATACAATAGCAATAATTTGGTAAAGTATCAAATACGTATTTATAATTTTTAAAGGTATCAAACATGTATCGAAATTTCCGTAAAGTATCAGTCGATAATGTATTATCGACACTTTTACAGATATATCAAATATAATGACTATCGATTATGTTTAATACATTCGATATGATATCACAATTTATAGTATGAAATCGATAATATCGATATGTTATTATCTGACCAATGACAATGCTACGTATCAAAGTTTTATCGAAGATTATCGACACAAAATGATACACGTTTCTATGGTTGGAAAAAATATTCATTTATTCGTTTTCTCCAGCGTCCTACATACAGTAACTCATAAAACTGAGCATACACTTGAGTAGTATACTATGATACACTACATTTACCTATCCCTGTATGATTTATTCTTTTTCAGGATGACAAATAAATTAATCTTTGGTTCGAGAATCTAATATTATTCCGAAAACTCTTATCACGGTTTATAAACGTGATATACGTTTTAATAAACTATATATATTTTTGATTATGTTTTTATAAATATGTAATTTTTTAGTATTTCTTTTTATTAACCATTTTGAAATTAATTCTTAATTTAGAAATAATAGTTTCACTTACTACATGAACGTATGATCAGTTTTGTGAGTATTTGTATATAATTTCATTTTAAAAAATTCATTAATATAAAAATCCCTATAGATAATAATTTTAAAAGAATTAAATTCTCGACTAAATTTCCCTAGTCGAACTAAATAATCTCCATATCTTGTTTAATAACTTTTTACATTTTTACTAAATTAGGAAACTAGATATAAACTTCATGAATTTTTTCATAACTTAAAACAATATATGGTGTTATGAACCTTTGCTGTAGACTATGAATCCGCATATACATCCAATACTAGTAATATATTATATATTTTTTAATTTTTGAACAAAGTAATCGATATCTCTCATAAAACGTTTAATCCAACATTATCTTGGAAAATATTTTAAACTAAACGGATTAAAATTTCTGAATATACTGTCTTCCCTTACTAAACCTATAAAGATTGTTTACTTTTTACAATAATGGCAGGAAAGTATTAAAAAATTCATTTACAGATACTATTGTACCGAATGATATTTTAATAATTCCATTAAATTTATAATTCTGCTTTAAGAAAAAACAGAAAACAATGATAAAAAAAAAAAGAAAATTATAGTTTAATGAGCCCTAGTTTGAGTGGAATGATACAATTTTTCATTAAAAAATATTTTTGTGTATATATTTATTTCTCAATTATACTTCTTGAGAAAATATGTATATGTAAATATTTTATGAATTATCTAATGTACTGAATTTTATATCAACAAATTTATATTAAATGTTAGAAATGGTAAACTACATGATATGTCAATATGTACTATTAAATGTAATATAAAATGCATTATAGAAAATTAAATACTCGATAAACATTTTGGCACTTCTTCATTCGTAAAATGATTTGAAAATTCGATTTATGCAAAAAGTGGCATGTTTCATTCAAAGGGAAAAGTTCCATTCCACTTCTGCAGACAAATCGATGCAGCCATAAAAAAATCGTGTCAACGGAGAACGGAACTCATTAAACCATGCAAATTTTCCCTCTTTCATTTTTTCCCTAGTTTTATTCGGAACAAAATTGGTCCAGTTACTAAAATCGTTCTGTGCAGAAACTAGTTTAAAAAATTCAAACAAATTGTCAATCCCATCATAGGTAAAAGTACCAGTAATTTTGTAAAGAAAAAAATTTTATAATTTAATTAAAACTGATGTTATCGTCTAATAATAGTAATCGTCAAATGCAATAATCTGTTATAAAATATAAAACTTAATTATTTTAAATAGAATTATATATTTGCTACGCAATAAATTTCAATGGATTCTGTGTAATATAAAATAATTCTAATATAAAACAATGGATTTTAAATAGCATGGTAAATATTTCCATGTTATATCTAATTACTTTATTATAAAATATAAACAAATATGTAATAAAAATTTCAAGTGTCATTTATTTTGAATATTTTGTTTACTAAGAATTGTATTTACTGAATCATATAATATCCTATATCAATAATATTCTAATTACTTCAAAAATTATTTAAAGAATTAATTTATATACTTTTATATTACTTAATAACATAAATACATAGCAATATTAGAAGTATCAAGATATCATTAATTTTTTAATGATGACTTTAATCATCTTGATAATTAAATAATTTTGAAATTATATACAATATTTTCCAGTCATAAAATAAAAATACCTATTAATAGGATTTCATAAAAAACCTCACACAATTTAAAAAGTATTATATTAGAAGTAAACATTCACTAAATAGACCAACTTTTTTTTTACAAATTTTCTCTATTTTCACTTAGTGTCATGCATCTTTTAATTTTGAAGATCAATTTCTAAAATATTTAATATACAATAGTTAATCAGTTTAATGTTTAAGATATTTAAATACTTGTAGTTGTAAAATACACAGTGACAAATATAAATGTGTTTAAAAAATACATTTCGCTATAAAACACTATTTCACTATAAGAACATTAGAAGTAATACTACTTCTATCCCTAAAATTCGTTATTAAATCACAAAATATGTTCGGATATCAAATTGATAATCGCAATTAATTCATAGGATTTCCTGTATATGAATAAGTAAACACACAATTCAAAAAAATATTATTTGTATAAAATGACTTACCTGTTCGAAGCCGCCCAAAATTTCTGTAGTGTCCATCGCAGAATTTACGACGATCGATTTGAGCTTTTGTCCGGCCAAATTTGCAAGAATATGAACGAGACTATTCTTTCCAGTCCCAGGTCCTCCGACCTGTTACAAAATTAATACAGTAATTAATCAATTAAAGAATAATAAATAGTTTCATTACAAAATATTATAAAATTCACACAATAATAATAAGATATTATTTTTATTTTAAAAATATACTACTGGTAATATATTTATTTTGCAAAGAATAAAAATGACCTTGAAAGAAACTATTTAAATTTCTTACCGTAGATAAATGTAGACGAAAATTATTAATATTATTTTTTTGAATAACTAACATTATTTTTTCTATTTTAAATTATAAATATTAAAGATGATTAACGCTATTAAATATAAACGCAAATTATCAATATTATTTTTCATTTAAAGTTATTAATAAAACATCAAAGTTTTAAAAAGACGGGAAGAACACAAATAATTTTTAGACAGTTTATTGAGCAAAGTTAAACTAGTTTGAAAACTACTTACGAGAATGGCCATCCAATCCATGTTAACACACTGCGCAAGTCCCTTGAGGACAGTTTTCTGCTCCCTCAGAAGCAACAAATCATCATCTTCGTAAACCGCAGAATCACTACGATCCAATATTTCGTTCCCTAAGAAGATCTTCTCTTTGGTCAAGTGGATTGGAAATTCTGGGTTTGGTAAAGACCAATCATTTTGTGAGAATATCTTGTTATATATTTTGATTACCTGTAATTTAGAAACATTTCGAAATAAAATCGATACAAACAAATTTTATTTTAAATAATATTATAATTTTTTAAATACAATCACTAATAATTGTTTACACCTACAAAAAATTATTTTAGTTAATTTGCACATTATGCAAATTTAAATATTTTGAAAAATATCGAAAATATTAGAAAGAGAATTCACAGTAAAAGAGATTCTAATATTAATTAACTTAATTCTTATTAAGTAGAAGAATGCATTCAAGAAAATTATAAATTAAAGAAATCAAAATATAAAAAAATATTTAAAAAATACATAAATATTAAAAAAATTAACTTTAAATTTATTTCATTATATATTACGCGAATTAAATTGTAAAAAACATTGATTACATATGTAAATAATATAATAAATATTAGTGTTAAAATAAAAAATATACAAAATTTCATAACTTGCAAATATAGAGCTAATATATATGAAATATGAAAAATATACTACATCTTACATTTTGTTTATCTTCATTTGTCCTCATTCTGTCTACATATAACAGCTGAGCACCACTTCCAGGATTGAAGTTCTTCTTTGAACTCTGTTTAAAATCTGCCACTGTTTTTTCACACCATCTAGTAACATCTCTAAGATTCATCTCCCAAGGTGATCCAGAATGACCCCAAGTAGTTCCAACTTGAGAATTCAATTCTTCATTAAATTGAATCATTTTATTCAGTAAATCTTCTGGTAATTCGGGAAATTGAATATTTAAAATGAATTTTAAATCTCTCTGTACAAGCGCGTCTACAAAGACCTGGAAGAAAACAAAAACACAAATTAAAACTTTTGACAAACTGTATTTCTACCCAATTATCAATAATCAAAGAATCATTTTGAGTATCTTAAAATATAAATCGACAACAAAAAAGTCACAAACAAAAATATAATTCATAAAAGTCTTAGTCAAAGTTAAAATTGTGAATGTATTAACATTACCTAAAATTTCATAACAAGTAATATTTTTCTGACGATATTAAACTTTTTCACTTTATATATCGTATTAAACTTTGAAAAATTAGAATCAACGAATTACATATTTAAAAAGAAATTAACAATATACATTAACACTTACTTGTGTAAAACGATTCAAAAATGACTTTGGAAGCCCTCTTCTAGCACCACCTTGACGAAGAGGATTTTGACACCCAAATAACCGAGTTCCAGGTTTCGCAGTAAAAGTCATTCCTAACTCTGGAATATATATTTCACCTCGATGATCAAGACAGGCATTTAATCCTTCAAGAACTGACTGAGATGCCAAATTTAATTCATCTAGAAGAATCCAATCTCCATTTTTAAGAGCTCTTAAGAAGGGACCGTCCTTCCATGAAAATTCACCAGGTTTCCCTCCTTCTACTGGTAAATCAGCTCCAAATAAATCCGAAATATCCTATATAATATTTAGAATATTTGTAGTAGCAATAATAATTTCTAATTATTATTATACGTAACATAATTTCACAATAATTTTAAATAACATAAAAATTCTTAAAAAGAAAAAGAATATTTCAAAAACTTAAATTACTGCAATTCACTGAACAAAATAATACTATAGAATTGCAGATTTAATGTATATGAAAATAAAAAACGTCAATAAATTATTATTAATGAATTATTCTAATCAACAGAATTCATAACGAAAATTATTTTATTTCAAGAAACAGAAAACTTACTGTTTGATCACTTAGATTTATTCTAAGAAGACGATGTCCAGATGCTTTGGCAAGCGCAGAAACTAAACTAGTTTTGCCAACTCCTGGACTACCTTCCAATAAAATTGGTTTCTTTAATTGCAAAGCACGTAAAACTTTCAAAGTATTTACTTTTGTTGTTGGACTTGTGAAAGCAAACCCTACATTGCTTGGAATTTGTTTATTTCCCTTTTTCACATAAAAAGGACATATTCCAAATTTATCTTTGTAACTTTCAACATTAAATTCCTCATAATTTAATATTAATTTAGAGTGTAAGTTACTCTGTACTTGCTGTTCAATAAATTTCAATGCCGAATCCTTAAAATCCTTTAATTTCTTTAAACTAAAATATTTGAAACATTTTGTTAAAAAATTAATTAACTATAACTATAATTAATTAATATGCAATACAATAAAATACAATTCTATTAAAAATCATAATAACTAATTTCTCCTAATTATTTTAAATAAATTAATTTTTAGTAATACAGGAAATATTATCTAATATATGAACCAAAAGATAATGGTACAAAACTTACTTTTCTGCAGCTGTCAAACCAGATCCAAGCCCATCAATATAACTCAAAGCTGCACCATGGAAGAAAGCATCACCTATTTCTAAATCTTCACAACAATTAACAAAATTGACCCATGTAAGTATATCTCTAACACTAACAACAAGCTTTTTTCCTATTTCTGTAGTTTGTAGCCATTTGATAAATTCTATTATTGCTGTAGAAACACTTTTTTTAAATTCTTCACGTAAATTATGTTCCATAATACACTTAAGATCATTTGATGAAACACATCCTTCACACCAGATTTCTGTAAATCTGTTTCTAAGAGCTGGTGAGAGTTCCTTTTTTCCATAATCACCACCAGGATTCATTGTGCCAACAAAGATAAAATTTTCATGAGCTGTCACTGTTGCATTTTCTTCAATCGATGGTTTTTCAGCAATTAAAAGTTTACGTTCAGGTTCTAAAAATAATTACAAAACAAGAAAATGAAAATTTATTGACTTGTATTTGAAGCATGAGAATTATTAAAAGAATTAATAAAGAATTAATAATTTATTAAAAGACTTAATTTTGATATTATTTGAATAACAATATTAACTAAACTGTAAATCCATATAATCTAAAATAGATAATTACCTAACAAAGAGTTTAATCGCTCGAGTACACTATCGTCTGCCAAAGAAATTTCATCTACTAAAAAGAAGCCACCATTGTTCATAGCTTTTACTAAAGGACCATCTACCCACTCAAATAATTTTTTACTTTCTTTATGTTCTCTAACTGGACGGAGACTTCCAAGGAAATCTGAAGCCTCTGTATGCATATGACAATTGACAATACTGAGTTCTTGTTGTCTAATTATAGACAAGAGTTGACAGACTGTAGTTTTGCCACCTCCTGTTTCACCAATTAAAAGAACTGGCTCTTTAAAGTCACAGGCCTTTGAGAGAAGTACCGCCATTTTACGCATTTGAAATGTCCAAACTATATGTTCAAACCCTGGAATCTTCTTTGATAGTAAAGATTCTAAAATTGGTTTAGTTACAGTAGAAGTCTTTTCAGAAAGTGAGAATAAGGCTTCTGGATCAACATCTCTTTTTAGATGTTTCTTTAACACTTGTATAATTTGTAAACATTCTTCTGGATGACGAACTTTCGATGACAAAACCAAATATCCCTCATCAGCTAAGTGTTGACTCCAATCATATAAAGTACCTCTAGTGTCAGGGGCAAGATGATATCTTTCTGCCCAGCGAAACAAATCTCGAAGAGTTATAAATCCTACAAAAAAGAAATTTTGTTTTTTTTTTTTAAGACAAACAGATAAACCAATAAAAAAAAAGGATTTTAAAAATAAAATTATCAAAGGTCCTCTATCATAAATTCTTATTTTTAGTATTTACCTTTCTTTCCAGCAAAAGTTGCAGTACTCTTTCTTCTTACTTGAAGTTCTGTCATTACATTAATTATTTGTTTACAATATGTTTCTGGCAGTTTGCATCTTTTATGTAGAATTACTTGAAGTTCTTTAGGTGGAATTTCATCGAAATGTAATTCAACAAATCTGTTTCTAAATGCACGTGATAATACCTAATAACATAAAAATAAATAAAAATAAAATGAAAAACAAAGAGTATATTTATAGATTATTACCTTTCTTCCACCATATAAACCTGGAGGATTCTGGGTAGCAAAAAGCATGAAATTATCATGAGCTTTAACAACTTGTTGAGTTTCAGGAATAAATAATTCTCTATTATCATCAAGAACTCTATTCAAAGCTTCTAAGACATCACTGGGTGCTAAATTTAATTCATCTAAAATTATCCAGTATCCTGAAGAATATCAAATTATTTTACATAAAAATTAATAATTAAAGGAAATTTTAATATTGAAAGTAGATTATAATAAAAAATGTATATTTTACAATAGTTAGTCGAAATAATAGGAAATAATAATAAATAAAGAAGACAACCAAAGATAAATCTGATAATACCTTTCCGCATAGCATCCACTAAAATACCCTCTTTAAAGACCAGCTTTCCTGCAGAATCAGCTACATAAGTACCAACATATTCTTGTAAATCAGTATGTTCATGATTATTAATTCTAACACAGATATGTCCAGAGGCCTTTGCCAAATATGTTATTAAACTGGTTTTTCCAACAGAAGTATCACCTTGCAACAATACAGGCATTTTACCAATAGATACTACTCGTACTAAGTCTTTCAAATTTTGCTTTACTACTTCTGTGAGAATGTACTAAAATCAAAGAAAGCAAAATATTTTAATTCTCTTTTTTTAAAAATTCTTCGTTTTATTTTTTACTTTTTCTATAAAGTTGTGTATTTTTAACATTTTACATCATTTTTATTATTAACAAAATCAATTGGAAAACTAAAATTAATAAAGATATAAACTTACATTTTCTGGTATCTGTGGATCAAGATTGCCTTTAGAAATCCAATAGCCTTCAATACACATAAAGTTCTCTGCAGGCCCACTATGTGGCCTTGGAATGGGAGTTCCAATAACTGAACTTGCAATTTTATCACTTAAGACAGCCTTTACAATCATTCTTTGCACTATTGGATAAGAATTACTATCTAGTTGTGTTAAAAAACTTAAACAAAATGCTTCATATAAGGATCTCAATGCATTTCCACAAGGATTTTGTGCTGTCACACTTAAAGCACGACACAATGTTCTCAAACTATAATGTGGCTTGTGTCCAGTTCCATCAAGAAGACTGGTCTCTGCTTCTTTCCTAACATTCAAGTAAAATTTTACAATACTTTTAATTTTTTCTGGTGCAAGATTTAAATCATTTAAGTATGACCTCACTAGAAGTTCTAAGTCTGATTTCTCTGTAAGTTCATTAACAAAGAATTCTGTAAATCTATTTCTCAGACCCACAGGAAGATCTTTTTTACCAACATCTGTTGCAGGATTCATACAAGCAAAAATTGCAAAATCTTCATGCCTTTTAATTAGTTCTTTGTCTCCACGCTCTAGCAAAGACAAAGATCCACATGATCCTTCTAACAAACCAGAAAGACATTCCAATGTTTCTGCAGTAGCTAAATTAATCTCATCTAATAAAACCCAGTCTCCATTCTTCAGTGCCTTCACTAAGCTACCTTCTATGAAAGAAAATGCTAAAGAGTATTGACTCTGTACTTGAGATTGAAGTTTCTCTAATTTTTGTGCTAGTTGTTCCCACTTTTTTAAAACTTGTATTTCATTTTGATTTTTTGGCGAAGATTTCAATCTTTTCAAAGCTGCAGTAGTGCTATGAATCATTAAAGTACTCAATGTCTTCCACTTTCTATCTGCAAAGCAACGCCCAATATGACGTAAAAATTTTGCATTTGGTTCAATTGCAAAATAAGATCGGAACAAAATTTCAAACTCCTCACGAATTGGAAGGATCAAAAGTTTAAGATCTACTGGTTTGTAACCACCAAGTAAATCTGTGCTTTCACTTTGCTGATTCATATTTATTACTATTAATTTGCGACCTGTTATCTGCGCAAGGTATTGAACACAACTCGTTTTCCCTGTTCCAGTTTCTCCAACTAATAGAATTGGCTCTTTCTGAATAACACAACTAGTTATTCGTTCTAAGAGACACAAAGATGGTCTTGTGTAACAAAAATTTGAATTTTTTGGCTCTATTTTAACTTTATTTGATTTTTTTATTGCTAACTTTGCTCTACCAACAATAAAACATTCTTTGAGAAGATTTACAGATGGTTTATATACTTCAGAAAAAAATTCTGCCTTTGTTTTTACGATACCTAGTTTATGAGCTACCGCTACTGCCAAACTTAAGCGTTGCACTGAAATAAAAAATAAAACTTTTCCTGATTTTTCTTAAAATAAATTAATTTTACGAATTGTATTGAACTGAATTAAATTCGTGATCATTCAACGATAATAAATATTTGAATAATAAATATTTTTGATAAAATATATTTCACATACCAGAATTAGGTACAGAGCAACAGAAGACATCTAAGGCATCTTGGAATATCTTCAATGCAGAAATAGGTGAAGATACATCAATATCAACAATAGCTCTGGAACACCATTTAATCAAATCCCTGGTAGAGATCTGTCTAGCATTCCTTACACTATTCACAACATCATCTTCATGGTTTCCAACAAAAAACAATAAAAACACATCAACAATTCTAGTAGCCACTGTATGTAATACTGGGAACAGAGTCTGAACTATTGTCACTAGTTCATTTTTTGATAAAGATTCTACATTAACACAAAACCACTCTTTCTGAGTTGGTATTTGAAGTGATTTTTGTGTTCCGCCAACAGATAACCTTCTGGTAACAAATAATTGAAATCCACTTTTTACATGAATTAAATCTCTATATCCAGGAACTGATAATGTTTTAGTTTCTACAAGTTGTCCAATAACACTAATAACATCTGTTGCAGCACAATCAATGTCTTCTAAAAGCAGCCATTTACCAGATAATACAGCTTCAGTCAGTATTCCTGGTTGCCATAAAAATTCTCCAGGAATATCAGTACATCTGTACATTCCTAATAACATCTTAGAGTCTGTTTGATCACCTAATTGTACTTTTGCAAAATTTTGTGCATCATGACCAGTAGCCTTTGCTAAAAATTCTATTAATGCAGTCTTTCCTGAACCAACTGTGCCTTGTAAACATATGCATTTATTAGAAGACACTGCAAAAGCCAAATTCTGCAGGTTCTGTCGTGTAGATGGAACAGGAACTAAATTTAATTCATTTTCACATTTAGAATTTTTAAATAATGGAAGTAATATTCCTCCAATAGATACTACCGATGGTATATCAAGTATTTCAGCTATTTCTTTGGTATCTTCACATATTATATTGTTTTGGATAACTTCTTCACTTCCAATCAAAAATTTTTGAATTTTTGTAAGAAAATCACTTACACAGGATAGATGGCAAAATTCTGACATTCCTAATACAATTGCAATACAATTCATTGCTACCCTGAAAAATTATTTAAAAATATTCTTATATTTTTCTTCACAAATATGTCTTCATCTTATTTTATTTTGAAACAAAATTTTTATTTTATTTCAACCAAAATTTTATCAAATTTATTTTACAACATAATTGCACTTTTGATTTAAAAAATTGTTAATTTTATCTTACCATCTAACACTCTCATCTTCATGAATCAGATATTTATAAAATTTAGACCAATTCCAGGTGTATTTAAAGTGCATTGGTGCCCTAGATAGAATGTCATAAGAAGCAGTTACTAAATCATAATCAGACACCTCTGTAAAAGATACTATTTTTCGCTTATTACGTCTCTTTGAAGAAGGGCTATAATCAACTTCTATAGAGTCAAATGGAGCTGGATTTACATCAAAATAATGTAGAACAAATCTGTAATAAAACAATATCAATTTACAAATTTTATCATTTAAATATATTTTATATTTAATTAAATTATTTTGTATAATTTTTTATACAGTCCACTATATAAATATATTTAATTCTTTAAATATTTTATAATAATTTCATATATATAGCTTTTTTTAATTGCTTATATATTTTCTTTCTAGACATAATCAAAAAGAAATTATTTTAGTTAACACCTTATTTAGATATATTGCTATATAAATAACTCAAACAATAATTTACAAATGCTACTGTAAAATGAGAAATTTCTTGTATATAATAATTAAGTACAAAAATATAAAAATTTATTTCCTGGTAAACACAAAACTCTAAACTTATATATCTACATAAACAAAAAAATCATTTTTCAATACTACAATGATAATATAGCAAAGAAGACAACACAGAGCATTGTATTACAAAAAACTTTAATCTTCTCCAAATATATTTTACATTCGTTACACATTTCAGCAATAGATAGTTCTAAATTCAAGTAATAAAAAGAGTATAATACAATGCATAACATTAGAAAAATATTGTTTATGTCCTTGTATGAATTTCTCCAGGCTGCAACATTCAACCTAAAATATTATGGAACATGGAAGAATTACAACACTGAATAAAATACTAATTAACATAAAGTGTGTTTGCTTATAAGTAGGATAGTATCTTCACTCTAAATAGCTTAATACATTAACATTAAAAAAAAATAAAATAAAATAATATAAAGTAAACAACATTTTGTAAAGCGATAAAAATACATACACTAATAAGTCATGATTCTTGCACAGTAGTTTTCCCAAAATAACACAATTCAATTTATGAAGATCTCCATCATCAAAAGAAATTTTATCTATAGAAATACTTGAAGAAATTAATGCAGGCAATAATTGTGGAAAACATTTAGCAACATCCTCTGTGGATTCTGGACTCATCAAAAATTCACACAAAATATCAAAAATTTGTTTGTATTCATCTCTATTTGGTTCCTATAACAAAATTGCATAAAATTATGACATTTTTAATAAAATTATTAAAAATAGTCAAATACAGTTAATACAGCATGCTTTAAAGAATACACAAAATTTGACAAGGAAAAACTAAAACATGCAATTTAATAAATTATTTTAGTTTCAAATGTATATAAAGATGGACAATAAATAAAATACAAAAAAAGATTCTTACATTTTTTATAAATTTTGTAATGTCTAATTCACGCATTAAATATATTTCTTAATTGCAATAATTATCAACAAATTAAATAAATTAATAAAAAATTATTATAAACGTTAAAAGAAAATGTAGTTTAAAAGTGTTGTTAATTACAACTTTTAATACATTTTAATTAAATGAATAGAATATTATTGAAGCTGAATATTATGAACAGTAAAGTATAAAATAATGTGATTAAAATTTATAAAATAAAAAATAGTAACAACAGAAAAAAGTAAGAAAGAAGAAATCGGTACTTATGATGTTTACAAATCGAAGAATATTTAAAATATTACAGAAGAAAGTTACATGCTTACCTTATTAGTTTTGAAGAACACAAATTTCTGAGCATAATTTTCCTTCGTTTTAACAAAAGTCGTTAAACTTTGTAGAAACATATTTGGAAAACAAAAACCGAATTACATGTGCAACCCCGGATAGCTATTGAAATCAATGCTTAAGTATCCACGTGCTTTTGACGGCACTAACCGAAGTTGGTTTTAAAGATGTACCATTCTCATTCACATAACTAAAAATATCCCTAGTTTATTTAGTTACATATATACATTTTATTTCACATATGATCTAATGTATGAGTTATTCACTTTAAGCAATTTATTTTGAGTATATGCATACTATCTTATATGAAACATTTATTTGTATTTAAAATTTCAACTTAAAATTTGTTAAATAAAAATAGAATAAAGAAATCATATCAAATGTGCATGAAAAGTATTTAATTAAAACTTAAAAAATGTTTAACAATATTTTATAACTTTCCTAAATTGATATTTAGTAGTAAAACAATATTATAGATTTTTGATAATATTCATTCCTACATTTTTCTTCAATTGCTTTGTGTTAATAGTGTGTTATTTTTATTTATACATGAAAATCAACCATTACTTTTTTTTCTGTCAGCTGTATCATCTTTTTGTATTTGCAATTTTTTCAAAGACTTGTCCTTTATTTAATATATCCAATACAATTTCGGTTATTTAGTAGTTTTTAAGTATCTGTATAATTAATAAGGGTTACAGACTCAGTGTTTTTAAATAAATTCAGGCATGTCTATATAGTAGACGATTGTTAATTATTATGTAAAATATGAAAATCTAATTACTACAATATAAATAGTAGTGACACCGCATAAATAGTAGTAGCCATCACAAGTGAAAAATGTGTTCAAGTATTGTTATAGAGTACATATTACTTCATTAATACATTTCGCACTCCTCCACTTGTTTCTGATTAACATAAATTGCATAAATTTTGAAATCTATATTATTTTTCAAATACATGCAATTCATCCATACAAAAAGCTTCTTCAATATTCTCACCGAAAATGGAATTAATGTCACTTCTGACATTACATCCTTTACACTGGTCTTTATTAGATTCTTCTTTGCGTATAAATGTGTCCATAACCAACATCTTAACAGGACGAACTAGAATACAAGATATGCTGCTACATTTGTTATTCAAAATTTTATTCAATTGGGCTGTTACTTTCATAACATGATTAATACTATGAACCATGATATAGGTTAGAGAATTAATGAACTGAAGCTCAAAACCAGCATTATGCTTATGGAGAAATTGCCAATTAATCTATGCATAAAATATCAGGAAATCTCCTTTATTTCCAAGAAGTATACACACTTCCTTATTTTTTACTATGATATTGTCTCCAGTATCGTAGGTTTTATTTGTTAAAATAATAGTGATTATGTATTGGAACTAATGTTATTGAGTAGCGATAACAAGTCAGGAACCAACCAGAAGATCAGCAGCCTATTAAGTTTAAATGAGTTTCTAAAATAAAAACTAATGTAACTGGGAAACAAAAATATACAGTAAGATTGGTTGCACAGGGATAAGTTTTAAAAGTAGGAACAGATGAGAAACTATTTGTTTGAATGAAAGATTGTCAGTGGCAATTTACATGTAATAAACCAGACAGATGCAAAGTTGAAGGTCAAGAAGATAAAATGTATTCACTGAAAAAGCCTTTATGAAAGGCTTTATTGAAATTGGGACTAATTTATGCATTTAATATAGCATCAAGGGTGGGTTGAAACTTTTGATAGCCCTATATATTAATAACTGCTTTATCATTTGTAATAAGGTTAACTAAGTAAATAAATTAAAAAATATCTTTATGAGAACTTCTAAAATAAAAGGCTTTGATTGTTTAAAAAGCTAAGAAGTTTTCTTGAAATGAAAGTCACACAAGATATAAAGATAAAGGTGAAATACATCTGGCTCAGAAAGATTACATCAAAAACTTAATAAGGAGAAATCATATACATGAAAGCAAACTGATAAATACATATATGGAGATCAATTTCAAATGCTATAGAAAAATGAATGATAAGAGCTAGTAAATTGATGTATCTTATAGTTAACACATGGCTAGACATCACTCATGCAGCAATTAAACTTTGCCAATTTAACAACAATTTTGATGAAGAATACAAAAAGGAGATTATACACCTGCAATCAAGCTTCGAAACCATTAAAGAGCTAATGTTAACTGAATATATAAATGCAGATTGAGGAGGTGATCAAACTGTTTGAACATCATACTCTGATTACATATGACACAAGAAAATAATATACTTGTGCTCAATTTTTGAAGATTAAACCAAGAAGATAGACCAATGGTAATTTTTATTGATAATCAAACGAATTAGTAAAGATATAATGTATATCAAAGAACCAAACACATTGACATAAGATACCATTTCATACATTATTATTTATAATAAAAATATAAAACTTTTTTATAGGGACACAAGCAAAATGATGGCCAACTTCTTAACAAAACTAATATCTGAAAAAAAAAAAACAGTTTTATATACGAGGCATCGTTGACTTAAGAAGAAATGTCGAAGAGATAGTTTTATTTTTATTTATAATATAAACCAATCGTTATTTTTCTTTTTATCGATGACAACACCTATTTGTACTTATAACTTCTTAAAATAAAGAAAACAGTCTCCATGTGCAAAACCAAGGAATTCAAGTTTATTTACTACGTTCAACGCAATCTCAGTTAATAAATAGCTTTAATTCTAAATATTTATATAACTGTCACTTTCAAATTATTTACTACACTTTTATTTATTATAAACAAATTACAAAATACAAATTGTCGATATAAATTAATTAATTTACAGTAATTTCTAATTAATAAACATTTAATATATCACATTTCTTAAATATTTCTTAAAGAAATATTTTCAAATAATATTACATTGATATTCTTTTTTTCTTTTATTTCATTCCATTTCATTCGTTTTTCGTTTTATATCTTGCTTAAAATTTTGTAGTTACCGCCAAAAAGAATTGACGCTAGTGTAATATGAAATATTATAGTACTGTATGTTATAAATTTGTTTAATTAGTTATAAAAATAATATTTTGGTAAATATCTTTTTTATACAGTTATTTCATATATAATAAATTACTTCATACTATCATTTCTTCCTTTTAATTAAAAATTTAATAATCAGAAGTTGGCTATCATTATGAAATATAAAAATTGGTAATTAAAATTTAAAGTTTTGAAATAAATGGTTAGTTTATCGGTTTCATTAATAAATTGTATGTAATTAATAGTGTTTAAGTGTTTAATGTATTTAAAAATATTATATATGTAACTACTAAAAGTCCTGTACTTCGGTAATTAATAATGAAATATTGAATGTTAGTTTTGTATTTTTGTATTTTTAATACATACAATTTTTTAATATTTATTCTAATATTGTTTTTTATGAACAAAAATATATATTTTTAATGTTAATTTTACATACTTTTAAAGATATTAGTTTCAAATACACTAATTAAGAATGGATGTAATTCTTAAGACAAAAAGTAATACCTTACATTACTCTCATTTCTTAAATCAATTTATGTTGTATTAGTCAGAAAATTTTTTTATGATATTATGTAATGTTAACATACATATTTAACATTTTTATAATGAAACAAATATTTTTCTCTTTCAGATCATTTCAAAACTATATCACGTAGATTATAAACTGAACTGTGAATAAACATGTAACGAGATTTTAATAAGGTAACCAAATATAATTCCTTAATTATTTACTGATATTACACAAAAATAAAAATTTTGATTTTCAAATTAAAATTAAACTTCATGTTGTATTATTAAATGTAACTTTATTTGCAAAGTGTTGAATTTCTCAATAGAAATAAAAATGCATATGTCATATACATTAAATTTAATATAAGCAAATTATAAAAATATTACATTTATATTATAACGATACAATTTGTTGATGAATATTAAGTTAGAAAACCTCAGGGTGTGCATTAATTTCATCTCGTAGTCTTCTCTCAATAGCAGGTAGAGAGAGATTATCAACCTGGACATTAAAACTGACATAAACAGCTACTGAAAGTCTTTTTGAAAGTCTCTTTGCAAGACTGTTTGAAACTTCATTAGTAATTGATCCCATGATCTTCGTTGCAAGTGGTTCCTTTTCATATGTTGATTTAATTGCAAAGGCTAAATCATTCATGGCATTTTCTTGAAAATCACCAATCCATACATAAAGACAATCTTTCATTTTTATTGTATGATAAGCAATTGACGAGTCTCCAATTTTTGCCACAAAATCATGAAATTTGAAACTGCATTCGTCTTTTATTTCTTCTTCTAATTGACTTTCCATATTTCTTAAAACTTTAAAATACTATTTAATTGTTTCTCAACACTCCTTTTATTGTTTTAAAATGTGCTAATCAGAATGATTAAGATTCTACGGCAACATAACCTCAAAGTTTAAATTTATATTTACCGACAATAGATAGTTTTCGAAGTAACGTCCATAAAGCATAAAAGGCAAGTTGTACTCATATATTTTAAAGTAGTTTAGTAATATACAATAATAAAATAACTATATTTGAATAAAATGTGCGTAAATTTTTATTTTTAAGATACTTTTATTTTTTACATAGGATTATAAAGATGTTATGAAATCAATTTTATTAACTTATATTTCTATAAGTTATCTACATATATTGTGGATATAACTATTTTTAACATTTTTATCAATTTTGTAAGTAAAAAAGAAATGTTGAATTAATAACTTTTCTCTGGTAAGATTATAAATAAGCAATAATATTGAAGAAAAATTTATATTATATATACATAAACAAAATGAACTTCCTTATTACATCATTTATATTAAATCGATAATTTCTCAATAATTTATCGATTAATTAATCATATGTATATTAATTAATAATCATTCGTATATTCATTATACGAACTTTCATGTAACGAAATATTATGCGATATGGAATTTAAAAATATAATTATTATATTCAGTAGAGTAAAATACTTTTTATTTAATATGAAATATAAATATATTTATGAATATAATTTTCAAGATGTGTTGAACATGAATATATATAGAGAATTCAAATTGAGTAGTAATGAAATATGAAAGTAAATTGATACAAATGTATGACGTTAGATGGCAATACTATTCCTTGTTAAAGTCTTTAAGTACTAGGTGTTCAAAATTATCTTGTTAAAAAATTGCATTTAATTTCCTACAATAATGTGTTAATTATGAAGTCATTTATTGAGATATTTAAATGAATGTTTATTAAATTTTATTTAGTACATATGTTACTATTTTTTTCTATAATCAGAAAATCGATTTCTTTTTTTATTTTGATTCCTTTAATATCCTATATTTGTTTATTACCGTTCTTAAAGTATATCTTGCTCCTGTTAATGTTCTGTGTACAAAATAATTATTACAAATTATTTTGAACAAATCTAATTATTTAATCGGAAAAATAAAGATTAAAAATTAAATCAATTAAAATCTGTCAGCAACAAATATTTTAATAATTATATTTAAAAAATTACAATTTTCCAAATTTATGATACTATTTAATCACAAAAAGATTTACATATCTGTTATCATAACTAAATCTTTATCCTAACTAAGATCCACAATTTACTATAAAATTCTTATTTACTCACAATTGAAATAAATAGCGATGTTATATTTATACACGACGAACGAGATATAGAAAGAGGCATAAATGTTTATCATACTTACGATCGATAAAATTATACATACAACGAATGTCGAATATTAATAATATTCTTCGCAAATTTTCTTTTCAGTTTAAAATCTTATATATTATTAAAAATGGTATAAGGTGTTTTTAAGTCACCCGGTATAATAGCTGCATACCTAGCGAAGCTTATTGATATACCTGCACCAGAATCACCTGCATGTGCAGTGAGCTGTATACCTAAGCCTCTAAACGGTCGCGGCGCGTATAATTTATGAATTATTATTTTGTACTATAATGTTGGCCCCACTGTACGCGCGGCTGTTTCAAGCCGCACCAATGGGGAGTCCCATCTTGTTGGAAACTGAGATAAAGCATTCCCATTGGCGTAATGTCTCTGAAAACCTCAAACTTATGACGAACTTGCTAAAATAATATAAGTTGCTCTTAAATTGATATTTTTCTCGAATATGCCTTATACTTTAATCGAAATACTGTATGGTGGTTTTTAAAATGTCGTATAACGTGTTTGAAATATATTTTAATCAAATTTTGTGCAAATTGTATTAATGTAATATATCATAGATTTGAAAATTTTTTATATTTTAAGTATTGAATTTCAGTTGAGAATGTTTTCTTTAATATTTTAAATAAAAGGGTTTTCTATTTTATATGCTATTTTATAATATTATTTCTTCATTTACAGATTGCTGGTATTATTAAAATCATATTGACTGGAATCATTTAATATTGTCATTTAAGTGCAAATTTTATTTCTGCATAATCTTTCCAATTATTACTTTTCACTTTTTCATTTAATATCTATGGTGCTTTGGAATTTCAATTTTTTGTTGAATTTTCTAGTTCTGTATTTTCATCTGTTATTGAAATTTCTTCATTTTTCTTTCTTTGAATTTATTTTCTATGACTAAAAAATGTAGAAATATTTAAATCCAAATTTTCTGATTTGTGAGTCATTCTGTTTCCCTTTTTGCTTTTCAATCTTAAGGAAAAAATATTTTACTATTCTTCTAAACTTTTTTAATGGTATTTTTAGTACCTTTTTTGTAATTGAAGAACTATAAAATGCAAATCTTTTTTTATTTGTGGAAGCAATTCATTTCTTTATTTTCCAGTAAAAAATTATTTGTGATTTTCAATCGATTCTATTATTTAATACGATACGAATATTTTTTTAATTTACTTAGGATTAAGAATGACTATGATCATTATGAACAGTGACATAAGAAGGGTGAACTATGTAATGTTCAATTAATTTCGAATTAATTAAGCAATTAATTCAATTTAAATGAATTTAATTAAAATCAAACTGATTAAGTTTTAATTGATTTTAAATTAACAATGGCTTTGAGAACCGTGTGTATAATTGAAAATGCATTATATAATTTGATGCAACGGAAACAGTATTTACCTTATCAGGAGTTTAATTTAAAGTAGGCACTACTTTGTGTTACACAAGTTGCATGCAATCACGCAATTATTTAATTAATTATACACGATGCATGAAATTATTTATTTATGTCATATTCTGCGAAATAACGAGGGAAAATAATTGCAAAATGTGAGCATGTTAAGAAGAGAAAAAAGGTCAACCAATTTTTTTCTAATTTTTATAAAATGTCCTTACTTAAGTATGTAATTTTTACAAAATTGTTAACTTTTATATAAAATTTATAAAAGATTTGTTTAGGCAATGCAAACCTTATTTTATGTAAAACAAAATTTTAAACAAATTATTGAATTCTATATCTAATAAAAGTTATGGAATGTAGGTCAATAACTTCACTATTAACTATTTTTAGTTTGAATAATTTAATATTTTATCGTAATTAGTTATTACTAATACAAGTTAAAAGTGATTTAATTTTTTCTTATTTTTTTATAGAAAACAAAATCGAAATTTTTGGGAGATATTTGTTACTGTTGCAACTAAATTAATTTTTTATTGCTTTTATTAACTTATAATTACTCAAACACACTCATATACTTCTAGGTTCTTTCTTTTTATTATTAATGGACATGAAATATGACTTAAGTAGAACACAGAAATTCAAAGCAATTATGTATGTGCAACAAGTACATATGTATATTTAATCTACTCTTTTAAAATGTATTCTTCCTAAAGTATGCTTATCATAATTTTAACATTTTAACTGCGTTATGAACAGTTAAATGTGCCATAATAAACTACTAATTATTTAGATATGATAAAAAAGTTACTGTATAATTATTATATCAGTGATAACAAAAATTACAATTACATTAAATAATAGAAAGAGAAATGTGTATTATCGCTGATAGTAATATTATCATGTATTTAATAATACTTATATAGGTATATATAATAGTACTAGATACACTGACTTTACTATAATAATTTTTTTATCAATTAAATAATATTTTGAAATTTTTGAAGTAAAATACAAATGTTGAGAACTTATAGATAAAATTATTTTAAAAATCTCACAACAAATACGGAATTTGTGAAAAAATGAACATGAGCATGAGTTTATTATATTGTATCTAAAAAAAAAAAGTAATTAGTAAAAGTAACTGGAATTAGGGAATTAGGCAATACTCATGATAGTTCAACCAAGTATTAACATAAATCAATACTATACATGAAATAATATTAATATAAAATAATTCATACTTTCGAATACTTTTATTGCCCTAGCAAAATGTTTGTTTTGCAATTCATTGTCCTGCAAATTTTGTACTTGTTGGATTTTTTTATAATTTTAAGTGCACATTTCGATACTTGTATTTTATTTTATATTTAGTACTATTTTCAAAGTTTCAATTCAATGTATATATGTATTTCATTTGTCAAAAGTTTAGGACACGAGTGAGAAACTATACATACATGTGATAAACAATGTACTTTAATAAAACAATTGGAGTTTGATTCAATATTTTAGAAAAATGGCATTTAAATTAAAGACTGGATATTAAAAAAATGAAAATGTACTTTTCTAAAAAAATATTTTTAGAAGCTCAAATTTTAATAACAGATGACAAAAACATTCAAGATTAAGAACTGTCATCAAATGAGTTTATCTAGATTGAAAGTGCTAAGTCTGCTATTTGGAACGAAATTTTGTCAAAATTACTAATTTAAAATTATTTGACTCAAAAAAAGGACGAAAATCAAATTTTTCGATTCGTTAATTGTACATATTCCCCTAATCCAAATTCCAGTAATATAATCTCATCATAGCTATCTAATCTGACCTGTTTCTCTTTACCCCAAAAATTAAGTTACTTTGAAATGAAAAGAGTTACCAATTATGAGGAAAAGGCTATCGAAAGAAGTATAATATTCTCTTTGATATTTCACCATGATCTTAAAATAAGAAACGGCATATATAAGTGGAGAAAATTAATTTTATTTGGAAGTACAGTTTGAATAGTTCTAATTAGAGTATCATTGTGGAAGGGATATCTGTGATCTCCGAATCAGAGTTTGATAAGCCAAGCACACTGATGCTAATTTATTTTAAACGAAGATATTACAATATTCAAAGTAAAAATATATTACGATCATAATATATTATATAACATAATTTTGATACGATATTTTTATGTTTTTATTAAAAATATCATTCTGATA